CTCCCTTTGCTAACTTACAGGGTTTGATTTTCAAAATGGAGCCTGAGGCCTTTTTTGCCTTGGAAGAGAGAATATCTGGGGAAGGTGCTTTCCTTGGCCCTCAGTGATGGGGAGCCCCTGTGCTGCACCCTTGGTGGCCCTGGTGTGGGGTGGTGACGTTTGTGCCCGTTCAGTGTCGCAGGCGCTGCGGGAGAACACGTACCCGTTCCTGGCCGTGATCATGCTCAAGGACCGCAGGATGACCGTGGTTGGGCGGCTCGAGGGGCTCATCCAGGCTGACGACCTCATCAACCAGCTCATGTTCATCATGGATGCCAACCAGACGTACCTGGTGTCCGAGCGCCTGGAGAGGTACGGTGGGACTGGAGCTGAGGCAGGCTCTGCTCTGTGCCCTGCCTCCCTCAGACACTGAGTGTAGGCACACAGCTCAGCACCTCCCCTTCTGTAACACGGGCTCTCCTCCTACCAGGGACACATCAGTGCATACATTCAGGCATCTTATAGCCAGGGAGCCAGATGTGTTGCACACACAGTCCCACCGCTGAAAGGTGGATGTGAGTACTCTGTTCTCTGCTGTTGGAGCACATCTTTGGTGTGCTGGAGCTTTGCAGGGAAAGCTTGGACAATAACCAGTAGGATCCAAATGGGAGCAAAGGCATTGCAGGCAGGAGAGCTGGTGTCTGTGTGCTGCCGCCTGGGCTGGCTGTGCTGAGCTCTGGCTGCTTTTCTGGTAGGGCCTCACAAGTCCCTGGTGACTCTTAGGGATGTACAGGTTGCATCCAAAACAGGATCCTACCATTTGATTTCTGTCTGTCCCTCCTCTGCCCCACGCCCTGTGTGGGGACCCAGTAACACATTCCAGTTTATGAAATGAGCAAGGAATTACTTGAAGGAGATGAAACCAGGAGGAGTCTCAGATAAGAGGCAGGAATCTTGAGCATTGTTCTTGTGCTGTCTGTCAGCTCTGCCAAGCTGCAGAGGTTCAGAAGCCTTTTAAAGGGTTACCCACCCTTGGAAGCAGTTTGATTGTGAGGAACTGTGGGGACCTGGCTTGGCCTTTTGGGAGCTTTTGGTACCCCAGGGCATTACCTGCTCTGTGCTTCTGTGAGTTGGAGACTGTCCCTGCCCCCTCGGGCCTGCCCTCAGCCTGCCATCCCCTCTCTCCAGAGCCTGTTAGCCCTGACCACTTCCCACTTGTGTTTGCAGGGAAGAGAGGAACCAAACCCAGGTGCTGAGGCAGCAGCAGGACGAGGCTTACCTGGCATCCCTGCGTGCAGACCAGGAGAAGGAGCGCAAGAAGAAGGAGGAAAGGGAGAGGAAGAAGAAGAAGGAGGAGGAAGTGCAGCAGCAAAAACTGGCAGAGGAGAGGCGGCGGCAGGTGAGAGCAGAGGGGCTGCAGTGTCCTTGGGATGCCTGGCCTGCAGGAGGAATTGCTGTGTCTCGCTTGGGGCTTGAGCATTCCTGAGGCTCCTGGGGCAGCTGTGCTGCAGGGGACAGGCACCAAGGCCAGCTGAGTGCACAACCATTGCTCCTGTCCCTCCTTGCCTTGCAGACACTGCAGGAGGAGAAGGAGAGGAGGTCGGAATGCCTTCCTCCAGAGCCACACCCCGATGACCCAGAGAGCGTCAAGATCATTTTCAAGCTGCCCAACGATTCCAGAGTGGAGCGGCGATTCCACTTCACACAGTCACTGACGGTGAGCTTGGGGCAGAGCTGAGGGGCCTTCCAGAACACGGGGGTAAAGGGACTTGCAAGTGGCTTTTTTCCCTTGGACTTGCCAAATGGGGGCCTTTGCTGAGAGCCTTGGCAGGCAGAGCTGCTCCTTGGTAAGGAGAGTGCTGTAGGGCCTGGTTCCACCACCTTGGAAGAGCAGAAGAAGTGGCAGAGGCTTTTTTTGCCTCCTGAAAAGCTGGAAAGTGCCTCAGCCCATGACAGGGCAGGGTGTGACAAGATGATATTTTGAGTCCTTTCCAACCCTTAACATTCTGTCATTATATAGAATATATATATATTCTATTATAATTCCACTACTCCCTATGAAATAAAGGTGTAGGAAGAGTCAGAAACAGTCTGGTCTCCCCAGTGCTCTGTGCCAAGCCCAGTTTCATATGTGCCAAGGAAATGGCTGTCTCAGGTCTACAGTGCAGTGATGGTGCAAATTTGGGAGCCTTCCCCCAGGAGATGCCAGGGATTCGCTCTGGCTGTGTCACTGCTCCCCCAGCTGGCAATTATTTCTGTGCTTCTTTCCCAGGTGATCCACGATTTCCTGTTCTCTTTGAAAGAAAGCCCTGAGAAGTTCCAGATTGAGGCCAACTTCCCTCGCCGTGTCCTGCCCTGCCTCCCGACAGAGGAGTGGCCCAACCCCCCGACGCTGCAGGAGGCGGGACTCAGCCACACGGAAGTCCTCTTTGTGCAGGACCTCACGGACGATTGACACTTCCTTTTGGTTTTGTTTTTGTTTGTTTTGTTTTTTCGTTTTTTTTTTTTTTTTTTTTCCAGAAGACACAAAACGGAAAGAGAAATTCATATTATTATTATAATACAATATTTTTTTTAAAAGACTGCGTACAAACGAGGGATCAGAGACCACATGGGCCGTGCCAGCCGTGTGTGCGCTGGCGAGAGGACACACGGCCATCCCCTGCACCGGGGGGCACACAGGGGGGAGCTGCTGCTGCCCCTCCGCCCTCCCTGGGGAGGAACAGGAATGGCAGCTCTTGGTAATTATTGCTTTTATTGATGACAATAATAATAAAACCCCAGCAACCCAACATCGTGTGAAGATTTGATACTCTGCTGCTCCTGAGAGACACAAGACCGAGCACCGGAACGTGCTGGGATTGGGGTGGGGGGAAAGGGCTGGACAGACTCTCCTCAGCTTCCCTCTGTGTATAAATACTGTTCTTTTAATATTTCTCTTGCTTTGTAATGACCAAAGGAGATTGGGGTTGACTATAGTATTAACTTTTTGATAAAGAGCTGGTTCGATTCTTACCCACGTGGGGCCTTGCCCAGGGTTCTTAGCCTGCGTAGTGTAATAAACTCTGCCTCTAGCATGTCTGTGCTGGTGCTTTCTGCCCTGCCCAGGGAGGGGGGCAGCTGCTGTGGCACTTGTGGCTCCCACGAGTGTGGGTGCACTCAGCCTCTGCTCTCACACTGGTGCTTGTGTGCCCGTGGAGCTGTTGGGTGAGATGAGAGCGTGCCCAGCACAGGGCATGGCAGGGCTGGGGTTGTGCTGTGCCCCCTCCTGTGGCATCAGCTCTGGGCTCAGGGAGGGAGGGAGCTCGTGGAGCAGGTGGGAGGTGGAAAAGGTGTGGGAGGGGAGTGTCAGGCTGGTTCCTGCCAAGGCTGCCCTAGGGCAGAGGGGCTGGAGCCTGTTCCTGCAGTGACCTGTTCTGGAGCCAAGAATGGTTGGGGGTGGAAGGAATCTCAAAGCACATCTCATGGGCAGGAACGCAGGGTTGGCCCCTTCCCTGGCCCAGCATGGGAATGCTGGAGCAGAGGTGGAAGGTGTCCCACTGCTGTGGCTGGAGCCACCCAGGGAGCTCTGCTGTCCTGGGACAGCAGCCAGGAGCAATTTCCCATCCCTGTGCAAGCTGTGAGGGGTCGCTAGGTGAGAGGGAGGGGGTGTGTGGTGCTGCTCAAAAGCAGATCCTGCTGGGGCAAAGCAGCCAACCAGTCCTGCTCCCACCCTCGGGCTCTCCTGGGCTCTGCTCCAAGCCTCTCTCCAGGGCTCTTCCAGCTGCAGCAGCTCCTTCCCATCCCTGGCCCCCACGCTTCCCCTCAAGCCCCCATGGAGACAAGAGCTGGGCCCAGCGTGTTGGTATACATCATACATTTATTAGTGAATATCCCTCTCAAAATCAGCCACAACATTAAAAAAAATAATGATTGCACTACTTGGTCAAGCAGAACTAGCAACTTTCATTTTAAAAAAAGTACAAATCTGTTAAAAATTTCAATCAGTATAATACACATATATATAATACAACATACTAGTTATGTTAAATGCTACAAAACCAATATGATTCCAATGGAATGGAAAAAAACAAACACTTTTAGAGCTTTAAGAACCTTTTTTTTCTATATATTAGCCTTTTTTCAAATACATACATGGGAAAAATGAGGTAACTGTAAAATGTGCAAGTAACAGAGCAAAAAAAATTATATATATATATTTATATATATATATATATATATATAAAAACTTTCTAACACAGAACACACGTCCTAGCACCTTCCGGGGAGCCGCGGGGAACGCGGGGGTCCCACCGGAGGGCCCGGGGACTGGTATAATAGAACAGTAAACAGTCCACTATCCCACCACAGGAATTCATTGGTAAACAGTGGTATCTACAGCGCAGTCAGCAATCACAAACACCCTAAATAATTGTTTTTTAGTATTTTTTTTTGTCATTTTTTCTTTTTGTTATTTTTTTTTAAATGATACTTTTAGCTGCTCATTGGAATAAATTCTGCAGCACACGAGCTGTGAGCTTTCGAGTCGCCGTCAAAGGACCGTAAGGCTTTCCTGGCTCCCTGGGCACCGCGAGGGCGGGAGGGGAGGAGGGGGCGTCTCCGGGGGCGCGAAGCCGGGGACTCCTTTGGTTATCTGTCACTGAGAGAGGGACGGGGAAGGGGCCGGGGTCCTGCCCAAGGGGCACCGAGCCCAGCGGTGCCGGCACGCGTGCCACGGCGGAGCGGGCGGCGCCGGGCCGGGGCCCTCGGCCGCGACGCTCCGGCCGCCGGAGGGGTGGGAAAGGGCGGCGAGGGGGAGCCGGCCCGTAGCCCCCCACCGCTCGCCACCCCCCGCGCCCGACCGGGCGGCGTCCGGGGCCGGCCCACAGTGGCTCGCACTGCCCTCTGGCCCTCAGCGCGGGGAACAACGCCACCGTGCCCGCCCGTGCGCGGCCCCTCACCTCGCAGCCGGCCGAGCCGCCGCCGGGGCCCGCCCCGCGCTGCCCCCCGCCCCGCGGGGAGCGCCCCCTCCCGCCCCGGTCCCTTGCACACGCCGCCGCCGCGGGCGCGGACCCCGCGGGGACGGCCCTGAAAGTCTCACGGTCCTGCTGTGGCGTTGCGGACATGTGCAGTACAGTGCATGGCAGTATCAGCTGAGCACAAAAACCCCTCTCCCCACCCCCCTCACCCCACAGCCGGCTAGACGTAGCCAAGACCACGTTCCAAGCTGGTCAGACATGCATGCATATTTGTGAACATTTACATAGGGCTGGCGTCCGCTCGGAAGCTCCCAGGCGTCAGCGACGCGCCGGGAGGGGAGGGCGGTGCTCTCACCACCACCCCTGCCACCGCCTCCCGTCACCCTCCTCGCTAATTAATCATGCAAAACAACGGCCACGCGGGATTGATGGAGCCGGGCGGCGGCGTGGCGGCTTCTCCCCCAGCGCCTGCGAGGGCAGGGGGGATACGGTGGCAAGGGGACCGCTCACAGCTTCCCCTGCACCAGCCGGGCCAAGGCCAGGGTAGCACTGAAAATACTCCACGAAGTTATGAATAAAACCCCCCCGCTCCGGGGGCCGCAGCCCAGCCGGCCCCTCGCTGCCCACGGCCGGGGAAACCGCGCCGTCCAGCCAGCAGGACGGGGCACGGGGCTACCTTGATTTACGTCGTCGGGACAGAGATACGAGCAGGAGCCGGGGGCCGGGCAGCACACTGGGGACACCACATGCCCAAAGCCCTAGGGACGGGGTTGGCGTCCCCTCCTCAAGCTTGGCTGCCTTGCGGGATGCCACACGGCCTGGCCCGGGGAGCTGTGTCTCCCGGCTGACAGGGGAATGAACAGGGAGAGGGGCCAGGGCTGCGCCAGCACCATCCTCCCACTGGCGAAACACCCCAGCAGCCACAGCCCTCTGGGGCTCCCCGGGGCAGCCGAGGCAGGAGGGAGCCGTGCCAGGCTGCGCACAGGAGCGGGGACAGAGGCATTCCTGTGTTCCTGCCTTTCTGCCCCAGCCACGCCGCGGGGTTGCTGGTGTCCCACCTTGGCCACACTCCGCCAGCCTCCTTCTCCGGCTGTCCCCGGGGCCGGGGTGCTGCCGGCATCAAACCCGCAGCGCTCCCTCCTCTCTCCTCCCCGCGTCCTCCGAGAGCAACGCTGAGGGGAGGAGCCGCCTGCGTGCCCCTAGGGCAAACGGCCAAGGAACCAAAAACATGACGGAAATGAAAAGGAAACAAGGGGGGAAAAAACTATCGTAAAAAAAAAATAGTGACAAAGGGAAAAACCACTAATTCCCTAGGAGAGTACAAAGACCTGGAAAGTGATGGAGCAACAACAGCGTCTTTGGAGCGCAGAGGGCACGGCCACGCACCTCCCGCCTCCAGCACAACACGATTCGGGGCCCTGGGAGCGCAGCGGGCAGGCGTCCGGCTGAGTCCGTGCCCCGGCGGGGAGGAGGAGGGCTGGCCGGGAGCCCAGACTGCTCAATGCTCACCACATCCGAGGAGAGGCTTTGGGGAGGGGGGGTAAGCGCAGGGTCAGGCCCCAGCAGCGGGCAGCAGCCCCCGCCCCAGCCCGGCGTCCTTGTCCTCTAGCGAATTGTGCGGCACAGCGCCCGCCAGCCTCAGTCCGCCTCCCGCTGCACCTCCGACGCGTCCGCCCGGCAGATCGGGCACGTGCGGTTCGCCTGCGGGCAGCCAGAGACAGGGCAAGTGAGCAAGGCTGGAACCACAGCCCAGGAGTGGCTGATCCTGCACAGGGCTCACCCCCAGCTCCCAGTGCGTGCAGGGCACTGAGGCCACCCGAAAGGCAGCACCCCAAGAAGCCGCCCCGCTCCCCAGAGTGGGCACAGGCAGTACCTTTAACCATTTGTCGACACACTTGGCGTGGAACTCGTGGTTGCAGGGCAGGACGCGGAGAAGCTGCCGGGCCTCGAAGTCGCTGAAGCACACGACGCACCTGGGGGAAGCGGCCATCAGTACAGCCCCACTGCCAGCCACGGCCCCCAGTTCCTGCCAGGCCCCCCATGTGCACCCCAAGCTCACTCACAGGGTCTGCTCAGACTGGTGGCTCTCGGGGTTGAAGCGGTAGGACGGGAGGTGCTCGATGTCTGCTTTGGTGAGTCCCCGTGGCTTGGCCTCCCCCAGCCGCTCGGCCAAGTTCAGCAGTGCCTGGAGGGAGATGCAGAGGCCGGCTCAGCTCATCTCCTGTTCTGGCACAGCCTCCCTCCAGGCTTCCCCCTCCCAGCAGAGCAATCAGCAAACTCCCCCAGCTCTCCCATCCCATCACTGTGAGGAAGCCAAGCAGACTCACCTCATAATTCTCCATCTCCACATCATCCACGTCCAGGTCTAAGCTGATCGTGGGGCCCACGGCCGTTGGCGACACAGGAAGCATAGAACTGGGAGGAAGGACAGGGCAGTCAGCATGGGGCTGCAAACTCCAACGTCCACCCTGGCACAGCCCCCTGTGCCATCACAGTGCCACTGGGGCCCTCCATCCACAGTGCCACCCCTGCCCTACACATGCTAGAATACCCCCAGCAGTACTCACAGGAAATAGGGCAGGAAGCTCGGATAGTACGGAGGAGGCGGCGGAGGGGGTGGCGGCGGGGGCAGCGCCTGCTGCAGCCGGTACCGCTGGGTGTTCAGCCGCCGGGGCATCATGTGGGGGTATGGCTGAGGGAGAGATGGGGCACTCAGAGTCGTGCCAGCCCCACAGCGTTCCCAACCCCTCCCCAGGATGGGGACTCACCACGCCAAATGGCAGTTCTTGGTGCAGCGGGTCGTGGGGGAGGTAATGCAGCGGCATGGAGGGCGACAGCGTGGGAGCGTGGTGAGACGGAGGGTATGTGAAACCTGCGATGGGGTGCTGCTCCCCTCGCAGGTCCACGTCATTGTCTATCCTCTGCAGAGGCTGCGGGGAAACAGTTAAGCTGGGAGGAGCATCCCAAATTACGCCTCCCCGATGCTATGAAGACAGAGGCACCCTGCCCACCACCCCCAGCTCAGACCCACAGGGGTTGCAGAAGGACAAGACCCCAAGGTGGAGGGTGCATCACGTCCCCAGGCTGTCCCTCCACCCCAACTCACCATACGTGGATGCTGGGCTTGGAGAGGTACGAACTGCCCCAGGGGGGCCATGTGGGGCGGCTGGTGGGGGGGCACTGGCGGTGGGGGTGGGTGCAGGATGTAATGGTCGCTGGAGATGATGGGGGGGAATGTCTGGTAGGAGACGGGAAGTTGTTGCATGGCACATGCCTGAATCAGCTGTGGGGAGAGACAGAGAGAAAAACAAGGGTCAGATACCCCTGACCCCTCCCCAGGGCCTCCCAAGGACCCTGTGCTCCCAGAAACTTGCATTACAGTGGGCCTGGGTACCCAGAGGGCTCTGGGCACTCACGGCCCAGGCTGGCCCCAGGCGTTCCCTGCTGTGACTCACCGGGGGTGGGAGGCAGCAGAGCGGGTAGTGCTGTCCGCTGAACATCACTGAGCATGCTGGGAGCTGCTGGGTGCTGCACCCAGGGATGTGCTGGCCAGCGTGGATGGGGAAGCCTTGCGTCGTTACGGTGGTAACCGTGTAGGAGAGAGGGACGGGCCCCTGGTGCACCTAAGGACAAGGTGCCGAGGGCACGGTCAGGGCACAGCCCTGTCTGAGCTGTCCCTGTCCTGACAGGGTCACAGCAGGACACTGGGCACTCAGCACTGGGACAAAACACCTGGCATGCCCATCCCGCTGGTGTGGCCAGAGGAATGGGCTGAGTGAGGGCTCAACTTGAGGGAGTTTTGAGCCCTTCTTTCCCCCACACAGACAGGCTGTGTAACCACCATTACTATGGATTATGATGACAGTTGTCACATGAACAACCCTACAAGGGGACTGTGCCCAGCCCCTGGGAGCAGGGACCACCCTGGACATCCCCAGAAGGCAGAGGGACCCCAAGATTTAAATCTCAGAGAACCAGAGCACCAGCAGGCTCAGGGCTGGGTGATCCCAGCAGCAAGTGGCCAGAGGGGACCCAAGGACATGTCACCACTCCAGACAACAGCCCAAGGAACACCACAGGATCACACTCAGGAGTGGGGCTGGGGGCTGCAGCACCTACCTGGTCATGCAGATCCACCATGAATGGGTTCTGGTGGGGTGGGTGAGCGGCTGGGTGAAGCATTCGTGGCGGCGTGCTGGCAAGAGCGTAGGCGCGGGGCTCATCTACAGGGACGTGCGGCTGCTGGGGGAAGGCAGGGTGCACCTGGGGCTCATCCTGGCCCAGCAGGGTTGCCAGAGGTCGATCGCGTCGTCCCCACTGACGCCTGGCAGAGGGGCTGCGGGGCCACCGCAGGAGAGAAACAGAGCAGGAGTGACCCCCCAGGCCAGAGGGGCACCACAGCCCCGGGCAGGACGGCTACAGGACGATCAGCCCAGTGCCCAGGGTGACATACTCAGGGCGTTGTGCCGGGCCACGTCAGGCTGGACAGCTCCAGAACCGGCTTCTCCGCTCACCCTGCAAGCGCCCTCTCCGTGTCCGCAGCACAAAAAGCACCCCTGCTCCCCAGGGACCCCTCATTTGGGCCAGGTGGATCTGCTTCCCTGCCAACGTCCCCCCAGGCCCCACTGGGAGCCAGCCGGTGCCTTGCCCCGGCAGGAGCAGAGAGCCGCCCCACAGCCCCACGTGCACAGGGGCCGGGCTCCACACGGCCCCGCAGCCCGTACCTGCGCCGGAGGTGGTCGGGGCTGCTGCAGGGTCCCCCCGAGAAACGGCGCTGGGCAAAAGGGGCAGAGGGCGGCCGCCTATTCACTGCCAGTTCCCATGGTCGCATTGGTGACGTCGGGAGGCGGGTGGGCACGCGGGACCTCGGGCTCCAGGCAGGGCAACGCACCAGCACCTTGGACTCTGCAAGAGGGACAGCGGGTCATGGCACTGTCCCGCCACCGCTCAGGCGGCTGCTCCATCCTCACAAGGATGCAGGTGCTGACAGCTGCAGCTCTTGCTGCTCCCCCACCCACCCCATCTCCCGGGGCTGCATACGGCCCTGACAGGGGCTAGGAAGAGCCTGTTCCCAACTCCCTTGTTACTGTTCCTCCCCTTCACGGCCAGAGTCACCTCCCATGCACAACACAAAGAGAGAGAGAGAGAGACTTATTTTTGCACTTATTTTTGGCACAGAGGAAAGAAAATGATGAAGAGCCCTGTGGCTGTGGCAGCATCCCAGCCTGCTCACCGGCCAATAGGGAACCTAAGCATGGCATGGGGAGTTCCCAGCAGGTCCCTGATGCTGCTCTGGGGGGTGCTCTTTGTTGCTGAGCTCCTGCACATCCTGCTCTGGAGTGACACTGCTACCCCAGTGACCGGCGCAGGGGCTGGTGGTGGCAGCAGGGCTCATGGTCCCTCTCTGTCAACTCCCTGCTGCAAACAGGGTGCAGACACGCATCCCCACAGAGCAGGGGACAAGCACGGGCTGTGCTGAAGCCATGGAGGCAGCTCTGCTCCCCCAGATGCTCCCCAAGGCAGCGGGACAGTGCGAACACTGCCCTGGCCCTGCCCCATCTCCCCTCCTGCACCCAGCCTGACTGGGGTTCCCGTACCAGAGCCCCTCCCAGGGCACAGCTTGACCCCTCAGCCCAAAACAACCCTGGCACTGCACAGAGGAGACACCTGCATTTGGGGCTGGGCTTCCCCAGGCTCTGCTTTCCAGGTCCCAAAACAGCCTTCCTTGCCTCCATGTGTACCCAAGATCCTCCCTGGGTACCCTTCCATTGCCCAGCGTCCTTCAGCTTCCACAGCACCAGGTCAGGCCAGCACACGGCAGCAGCATGGCCTTGGCACCACACACCCCTAAATCCAGCCCACTGCAGGCTGGTGAGGTCCCCCAAAGCAGCTTCAGCTCCACCTCCTCCTCAGTGCCCATGGCAAAGACACACCCGGGACAGGAAAGACACTCCGGGGACCTGGAGCCTGGGGAATGCTGCTCAGCACGGGGATCTCAGCCCCGCAGAGAGAAGCTGCAATGTCACTTTTGGGTGATGGGTATCAACAACCACTGGGACAAGTCCTGTGCTACACACAAGTCTCTTCTTAACCTCACCTTCATCTCCACACTACTGTGGAAGCTGAAAGCAAATTTCTGTCTTTGTTTTGGTAGGAAAAAGGAAGAAGAAAAGCAAAAGCCACAGGCTGAGCCCTCCCGGAACCTGTCTGTGACTGTCACCAGGGAAGGGGGTGTGCCTGACCAGGAGGTTCCTTCCACAGGGAGTTTATTCTGCCCACCTTAAAGCTCTGCCCGGCTGCAATATGCCCCTGAGTGGGCTGGCAGCCAGAATGCAGCAATAACCCAGGTTCAGCCCCACTCTGAAGCCTCCCTGAGGTGTTACCGCTTCCAGTTCCACATCCTCACTCTCGGAGCACACGTGGTGCCAAGGTCCTGTGTGATCCAGCGGGCACCTTCCACACCAGGCACCACAGCAATGGGCTTGGGGATGGGCAGCGCGTCCACAGAGTAACACTGAAGCCATGCAGGGGCTCGCCTGTTCTGGGACCTCCAGAGCGGAGAGCGGCACGCGCTCCTGGAGCCCAGCACGGCACCCGAGGCAGGACGGCATCCCCGACTTGCGGGACAGCGCTGGCGCGGCCCCGGTCCTGCCACCAGCAGGTGCCCACCCTCCCGTCCCGGGCGGGCACACCCGGCTCCCCCCGCACCCGCGGCTGGAAGCCAGCGGCCACACCGAGCAGGGTGACCGTGACCCCGCGGAGGGCACCGCGGCTCCGAAAGGAAGGGGATGGCGGTCCCGCAGCCCCTCGGAGGGGCGGGGGGAGGCGGCTCCCGAGCCCCGCCGAGAACAAAGTTAGCAGCGCGCCAGCGCTCACGCCCGGTGCCATCTGCTCGGGCAGAGCCGGGCTCCGGGGCTGCCGGGGAGCCGCCCGCCCTGGGGGTCCTGCCGCCCCGCTGCCACCCACCGCCGGCTCCGTCCCGGCACCCCCGGAGCCCCTTCCCCGCCGCTCCCAGGCGGGCGCCGTCAGCTCCCCCGGGAGCGGGGTCACCGCTGGCCCCGCCGCACCGGCAGCCCCTTCGGAAGGCCGACCCCGACTCCCAAGCCCACCCCCAGACCCGAGCCGAAGCCGACCCTCGGTGTCCGGGACGGCGGCGCACGGCGGGGCGAGCAGCACATCCCGGAGCGCACGGACGGAGCGCCCCACCGTGCAGCGCCCCGGGGAGGCACCGCGGCCACGGCAGCCGGGAGCGCACCCAGCCCGCGCCCCCCGCCGCGGAGCCCCGCCGGTGCCGGTGCGGATCTGTGGCTTTAAGAGCGGCCGCTCCGGGGCCATGTGCTCGGCGCCAAACAAAAGCAATAACAAAGGCGGCCGCCGGACCCCGCCGCCGCCGCCCGGGGCAGGTGCCGTCGGGGGTCCGGGGGCGGCCCCCGCCCCCGCCCCGCTCCCGCCCCCCCCGGCCCGCACGTACCTGCACCGATGGCCTGGGCCGCCGCTCCGGTGCCGCTGCGGCGCCCCCGCCCCCTCCCTCCCGCCGCTCTTTGTTCGCCGACGCCGGGCCCGGGCCTGCCCCCCCCGCCGGCCCGCCGCCGGCCCTCCCCTCCCTCCCTCCCGCCCGCCTCCCGCCGGGCCGGCCCCCTCCCCGCCGCCGCTGTTTCCGGTGCCTCTTTGTTTTCCGCGGCGCGGGGCGGCCGCGGCGGGCCGGGGTGCGCGGGGGGCGCCTGTCCCTTTAAGAAGCGGCGGGAGGCACCGGACAGAGTCACGGCGCTCGGGGGCACCGGGGGCGCGCGCGGCTGGCGCGGGGGGGCGGAGGGGGGCGGCCGGGGGCACCGGGGGGAGGGGGGGGCGGCGCGGCGCGCGCGCGTCCCACGTGACCAGGCGTGTCACGGTCCGCAGCCATCTTGGAGCGCGGGGCCGCCACGCGGGGCAGCGACCCCCGGCCGGAACCACCGCGCTGGGCCCACAACCGAGGGCACCGGGCACGCACCGCCCGGCCCAAGTGGCCCGGTGCCGCTACCGGCCACCTCGCCCCGCTGCGACAGCCCCTAAGGCTGGTGACACCGTACCTGCGGCTGTGCCCCCGCATCACTCCCGGGCCCCTGCTCACCGGGCTGGCAGCTCCGTGGTCCCGGTGGGCCGCGGGAACGGCAGTCCCGTGTGCCCGGAAGTCACCGTGCTTCTGTGCTGGTGGGCACAGGGGTGGGGAAGCAGGGCCTCGGCTCCCCAGCACCTTCTGCGCTCGGACGGGAGCGTGGAGGAGCTCCTCCGGTCCCGCTTAGGACGTCGAACCCTTTGCCCGCACCGACAGCTCTCCCACAGCATCTGTGGCCAGGTCAAACTTTTACCCGCCAGAAAAGCCCCTTTTGCTTCAGAAACGCCTCCTATTCTCCCACATTAATTAAGCAAGAAGCAGGAACTACTCGGACCATCTGCACACTTCCAGCTCACCTGAGCGAGTCACCCGGCTGGTGGCTAACGCTGAGAGCTGCACACCGAGAGGCCGGGCCAGCGGCTCCCCGGGAGCTGCACACCGAGAGGCCGAGCCGGTGGCTCCCCGTGTGCCCCAGCAGCACCGCTCAGGCACCAGTCAAATCCCCGTGCTCAGGACAGCACATCGCAGCAGCTTCACTCAGCGCCAGATGCTGCATCCGAGCCAAATTTCCCCCGGTTACAACGCACACTTAGAAATTCCCAGGTAGGCGAGCGAGCCAGCCGGCAGCCCTGATGTAATGCCTATAAACCAGCCCTCCCCTGACAGCTGGGCTTTAAAGTGCTAACAACCAAAAGGGAGCTAATTAATTTGTAGCATCACCCCTTTCAAAGAAAACCTCAGATTGACGATTTAACAATTCAGTAGCTCGTTGTTGCCATGAGCAGTCGGATTCAGCTTTGCTCTATTCAAGCCCTGTGCCCAGGTCCCTTCAGGCCCCTCTCCAGGCTCTCACCTCTTCACCCCAAATCCAGGTGTGCAGGAGGAACTACACCAGGCTCAAGGATCCTCCAGGACACAGAGCACTCTGGGGCAAGACTGCTCTACCATGACTGTCAGTAGCACCACGGCCAACTGCTTCTGTCCCCATGGTAGGGGACACACAGGACAGGAAGGCACCACAGCAGGGCAGAGCTATGATGGTGTCAGAGCCACGCACGCAGGCAAGAACTCCAGCAGGAAGAGCCAAAGGATTGAATCAGCCCAAACCTGAACAACCACCCTCCAGGTCTCTTCCACTACAGCCTCTTTGCTGCAGGAGCTGGGGAACTACAGGGAAGAGAAGGAAAACAACACTCTGTCCTTTGACCTTGCCATTGTTTGTGGGCAGAGGCAGCACTGCACCTTCACAAGACTGCCAGGACCTGGTCTGATCCTGGGCAGAGCAGCAGCAGCAGGCAGAGGCCACAGATGGTGGATATCTGTGCAGACACTGCCTCCAGACCCGCTCCAGCAGCAGCAGCTTCCCCGTGGGCAGCAGCTATCGATGTCCTCAGGAGGCATCAGGAGAAGCCATCGATGGGACACAGCTCACACGCTGCTCACGCTCCCTGCCCAGCCAGGCTGCATCATTCCCCTGGCACAGCCACGCTGCGCATGGCTGTGCCCAGTGAGGATGGGGCACCATCACATCCAGCCACAGGATCAGAGCGTGTGGAAACAGCTCTGCCCACACTGTCTCAGGGACACAGCCATGCACACAGACCCCCACATCACACTGTCCCAGGCACAGAGCTCTGCCTGAAAAGCCATGTGAGGGGCCCAAAGGATGCTACAGCAAGGCTGGTAAGGCTGCTCAATGCTTCTGGGCCAGGACAAGGGATCCCAGTCCAGCCACAGAGACCTGTGACACCCCTGGTGAGTGGGACAGCCCGTCAGCTTTAGATAGCTCCCTATGTGCAGGGGCTGCTCAGGCTGAACCTGGATGCTCTACAGCCGACAGGTGGCCCATCCTTTCCTTCAGGATAGCCAGGGGCCAGCAGGACAAAGTCTCCCTGAGCCCAGGCTCTTTAAGAGACCATCTGCTGCCACAGACATGCCACCTCCCTCGCCCCATATATAGGTCAGGTCTGACACAGGATTAGCCAGGGTGATCCAGTGGTGAGAGCACATCTCCCACTGCAGGCTTGGTCTGCCCTATGCTCTCCCCAACTCTCCGCATGCCAATGCTTCATCTCCACACTCTCCTGGGCCTCTCACACAAGTCCAGGGAGAGAAAGAGGCCCCAGATCTTACTCTTTTCTCCCCAGGGCCTAGAAAAAAAGCCTGAAGAAACTGTCACCAAGAACACAGAAGCTCTCAGACTGTAGGGAGGGAGGAGCAGTGGGAGTGTCCCTACCCTATCCAAGGCCCAACACAAGCACCAGGGGACATGGGACACCCCAACATCAGCAGGGTGAAGCGCTTCTCCACTGTGGAGATGGGGGAGCAAGGAGCTCCCTCCCTGCTCCACACACCGGGTGGAGCTGAGTTCACTGGCAGTGGAGGCAGGACGCCTCTGCCATGATCACACGCCACCCACTCCCACCCCCGGGCTGACAGCACTCCCATCAAACGCCTCCAGCCACACACACGTGGAGGATGCTGACATGAGGAGCGAGTAGCTGCACAGGCAGCGGAACTGATAACGCCCAGTTTCCTGTCGATCTCTCCCACGTGGATTCTCTGATGTCTAATAGCATGGCTGAGCTGCACTGCAGAGGGAGAACCAGCAGCACCTTCCTCCCCTGAGCCAGAGCCTGTAGCAAGCCAGGACCTCAGAGGCAGCATCCACACCTGACACCTACCCCAACTGACACCATCCAGCAAGTTCAAAGCAGAGTGAGCACAGATAAACAGTAAGCTTGCAACAAGCCTTCATTTCCTTTGAACAGGGTAAATAATCTGCAGAGATCTCCACCTTCCTTCCTTTGCCCTAGAAACACCAGCACAACCTGAATAGCATGACCAGAAGGCTGCAGGTGCAGCAACCGAGTCCAGCTTGGCCACCTCTGTAGCTCAGCAGCACCAAGGAATGGGTTGTGTCCTCCTCTCTCCTGGGTGGCCTCTTCTGCCCTGAACAGAAGCATGCTGAGATATACACACACCTCTGTCTGTCCAGGCATCTTGCAGCAGCCACTTCCACAATTCAGTTGCACATGGGTGGGAGGAAAAGAGCAAATGCCACCACGTCCATCTCCAACCTGCTGCCTGGGTAGACTCCCTGGTCCTTCCTTTCCTTCCTACTACAAGATGCTGCTTTTCAGGACTCCACACTCCTCTGCCCTTCACTCTAAGTTCTCATTTCAGACAGCCCTTTCCTAAACCAGACCCAATCTCTCCTTGGACAGAGCCAGCACAGGGAGGAGGGATCACTCCTCTTTCCCTTCCCCACACAGCATCCCTGGAGTCCCCAGCTCATCTGTCACCGCTCCACAAGTATCTCTCTGAGTCCAGCCTGCTGTCTACAGGCTGTGGACAGTGTAAATGGCATCTGCCAAGCGAGTGGCCGAGGGTAGGAGGGTCCAGGCTCCAGACACCTTCCCCACTGCTCTCGGTCAGAGCAGCTCCTGCAAAGGGACACGGGCAGAGGCAGGAGCTGGAGGATGGCAAAGAGCAGCTTCGTTACCACTCAGCAAAACGAAGCGTCTCTTGAAAGCGCTAGTGACAGTCAGGAAGTTGGGCTGGGTGGTTTGTTTTGCATTTTAAGAAGCCTGCAGGGACATGGACAACCTGCAACAATCACTTTCAGAAAGGAGCTCAGAGAAACTCAGGATTTTCAGCAACCATTTACCCTCCTTTGTCCTTGATTAAAAATTTGCCAAGAGGCTGCTTATAAGATGCACCAAAACAGGGAGTGACCACTACCCTAAGTGCAGAGGAGGTTTGCTGCAATATGTCCCTGTACATCACTCAGAGAACCCCACACCAGAGCCTGGGGTTGGTTTTAAGAACAAAAACACGACTTTCAAGCTGACAGCCCCCGCGCACAAAGCGCAACTGCGGTGACAAGAGAGCAGCCTGGGGCACAGGAGCTGCCTGACCTCTGCTACAGCTCTCAACGGCAGATTTTATTGTTCACCACTTTCCCAAAGCACAGGCATGGAGAGAAAACCAACTAAGACACTTGTCTCAAAATGCAAATACAGCTAGGGAGCCCCACCAGCCCAGCAGGGGAAAGACAACCTGCCGGAGGGCACCACGCCTCAGCACTGCCAGGCTCGGGGGAAGGAGGACCAGAACGGGGCCCTCCCTTCCCAGGGGCAACAGCAGAGATGCCAGAGGCCTGGATCACCAGGACACAGGCTCACCCGAGAGAAAGCAGCTCCTAACACACAGTACTGCAGGCCAGTCCTCTGCTCTGCATGGCTGAGCTAAAATCCTACTTTCCAGGGTAACCAAGGAAGACCCAGAACTACAGCTCTGCAGCCAGTGAGAGCAGGTCTCCAGGGACCAGCCTGCAGCTAGAAAATAATATTCCCAAGGCCCGCAACGAGCGCTGTTTGCTGGGGACACTGCTCAACCTCACGCTCTGCCATGCACAGAGCAAAGTGTGGAGCCCTCCCAAACCACCCCACTCCAGAAAACCCAGACATGCCACACTGAACATGGGACCCATGGTCTGCTTGTGCCCTCCAGGAAACAGCTCCTGCCCTGAAATGCTGAGGACTTGCAGGTGCAAGGGTGGAGGAAAGGATAAGCACCATGGTGCAGCTCTGCTGCCCAGAGAGTCAGCAGGCTGACTTCTCCCAACACCCTTGTGAGCTGACAGCACAGACCCACACTGCTCCCCTCTGGAACTGACCTGTCTCAGGGAGCCACGCAACATCCTCGCGCAGCTCATGACCACAGGGCTTGGCTCTCCCAAGTTCCTGCATCGATGTCAGAGGGCTCTGGCAGAGCTCCCCAGCACCAGCAGCTTCCTCGGATGT